TGTCCTGGTACACTGAAGCACATGCTATCAGAATAAATGACCAGATGAACCCACTCTTGTCACTATAATCTACCTTCCACTTGCTCCCATATTGATATCCTAAGCCTTGTCATTATCAACGACTGCACTACCATCAAAATTTCTATTTCAAGCATCTCACTTAGATCACTATCTCCTATTTTTTGTGCTTACTCTCTTCAACAATTCTGATCCATTAATTCTTCAACCACATGGGAATATCCCATCCACTGCCCCTACCACTATTCACTGTCCGTTACACCCCTCATGACCTGATTTGCCTCCTCAAACTACTTAGATTCCACAATCCATTATTATAATGTTTCCCTTCCATATACTTTCAGCATCCTTGTGCCTCTCTCCTGTCTTACACACACAGAAAAATTCCCATCCTGCATCCAAGCACCTGAGCCTGACAGGCAGAAGTTTCACCACCACGATGAGGGCTCACACTTTAAACATAGATGGGACCTCAGCGTTCCAGACAAGCCCTAGTCAACATTTTCTGACACAATTTACCCTCTTCTTTCTCTGAAAAGCTCCAACAACTCCTCCCTATACCTCACTTTCAGTTGTTGTTTTTTTAGTTTTTGTTTGTTTGTGTGTTTTTGCTTTTTCATTCTGATAAGAATGTAGAAGAAACCAAAAGGTTAACTGCTATGACAATCAACCCCAAAATTTCATCGAAAAGATGATGACAGCTCTGGATGTCTGAAAGAAAAGGAGGGAGACAGATGGAAAAAATACAGAAAATAAGACAGCATCTGCAACAAACTTTATCTACTTTTGTTGTTGTTGTCACCTGCCTTCAAGTCAGCCCCCAACTCATGGCAACCCAGGCACAATGGCTGGTCCTGCGCCATTCCCATCATCAGTTGCAGGCCAGACCATTGGGATCCATATGGTTTTCATTAGCTGATTTTTGGAAGTAGATCTCCAGGCATTTTTTTCCTAGTCTGTCTTAGTCTAGCAGCTTTGCTGAAACCTGTTCAGCATCATAGCAACAGGCAAGCCTCCACTGACAGATGGGTGGTGGCTGTGCATGAGTGCATTGGCTAGGAATCAAACCTGGGTCTCCTACATGGACGAGGAGAATTCTACCACTGAGCCATCAATGTCTTCTTGTCTATTTTACATCTGTCATAAAGTCTGGCCCTTGTCTGTTGCACAGGACCATCCAGCCAGGGATATTATGGATGGATTAATACTCCCCTGGAGGCATGGAACCTGGATCTTAGTCTCACTTCCACCAATATTACTTCCGCACAAATCTACCTATCTAAACATCAAAAATTATCAACTAAATGAAAGGCATGAAACTGCAGAAACATTATTTTTCTTATAAAATGTTACTATCAATTGGCATAGTGTTTAAGAGCTATGGCTGCTAACCAAAAAGTCAGCAGTTCAAATCCACCAGGCGCTCCTTGGAAGCTCTATGGGGCAGTTCTACTCTGTCCTATAGGGTTGCTATGAGACGGAATAGACTCATCGGCAACAAGTTTGGGTTTTTTTTTGGTATCAATGTCTGTGCTCTTTTTCTTTTAATGTATGCAAATGATGAGGAAGTGGAAGTGGCTTAACTCTTCTGTAAATCTATTTGAACTCCTTTGGGGAAAGATGTAAATAAGCTACATGTTCATTGTAAAGACACAGACATGGTATTATCATCATTAGTAATAATTTAATTATATTAGCTAATTGGTATTACATTTTTATGCATTCACATGAAGGCAAATTTTGTCTTCTTGCTATCTTTGCCATTAAAACAAAAGAGTAATGCTATCCTAGATGATAAGAATAATGACTGCACCTGTCAAAACAGATTTATATCTTGAGTCTCAGACAGCCTCTGCAGCGTGTTTTTGCCAGGAATATTCATTTGTTCTTTTTTTGAGGGAAGAAGACAGAAAGCAGATTTCCACCTCTACTCTTGAGCCTCTCTCTCAAATGACGCTCGGGGCAACAACCCTTCAAAATTAGGTACCAATCAGTGCCAATTCCTTTGGTAACCATTGTAATAACATTAACATGATGAACTAATGAGATATTAATGCAGTTGTAATAGACATTTCCATAGGAGTTCCATTGCAATTGAGTAGGTTAATAACGTGCCTTAATCTGCGCTTGGCAAGTATAATGTTTGATGAATAGGGAAAGACAGAATTTTGATGACTTTCAGCTTATAAGGCATTTACTCTTCAAAAAAGAAAAGAAATGCCTTTTTTTAAAGCAGGTGCATGAGTGAACATTGGAGATAACTGAGCCCAGAATGTCATAAACCTTGCTCCTCAAGGCATCTCAATGTATATTAGAGATTTAACTTTCTAAACGACAACAGAGTTGAGGAATAAATATTTAAGATCTTTATTTATATACAAGATGTATCCAGTAGTTCATCCATTTATGGGACATTTAGTCTCTCAAAACCTAGCAGATTATAATTAAGGATGGCAGAGCCTTGGGAATTCAGCAACTGTACCATCAGTGGGGTTTTCAAAGGAAAGAAACTCCACATACACACACACACATACACACACACACACACAGACATGTATACACGTATGCATAGAGGCACACAGCACACACATATACAAACAGAGACACACATGCATGTATGCATGCATAGAGAAAAGCACTCTCTATTGTTTAAGAGAAACAAAGAAATAAGGCTAGGAATCTATGAAGAAATTTTTTTTAAAAAAGGGTGCAGTGATAAAAAAGAAAAAGCAGAAGCAAGATGGAAAAGCCAACATATTCAGAGTCTTTCAGTGGGATTCAAGAGGATACCTGCAAATAACCCCAGTTTGAACTCTGCTGAGAGAGAAGCGAAAAGAGCAGGGCCTTTGTATGATTATTTATTCCATCAAACAACAGCACATGGCAACTCAGAGCCTTTCTATTCCCCGAGCTAATATTTGGAAGACATTGTATCTCAAGGGCAAATTCTAAGTGCTCCTCCTCTCTCTAAAGTAAAGAGGAAAAAATTGGAGGTTTCCATCATCCCAGGATAAAAAGAAAATACTATGAAATTCAACATTGAACATTGTACAAGGAAGGTTAAAAAATTAAGAGGAAAGTGTGGTGATAAGCTTTGCTTAGCAAATACAAATGAAAGCTATGTAAACCCATGTGATTTTTTTTTTTTTAAGGCAGGCTGTTGTTAAATTAACTGGCAGAATTTCAAAATCTCCTTAACAGTGAATGTCGTTGCCAATTCTGTTCAAATCTTAACTGTTTCTATAAGAGATCTGCTTCCCTGAACAGCTCCGCATGTCTGGGTTCTGTCCCACCTGAATATGAGGAGAAGGTAGATTGCAGATTCTCTAACTTTCTCTCATCTTCCACAATTCTGAGAAACTCCTCACTCTGGGAAAACTTCTAGACTAGGGAAGAAAGCAAGGAGGACAGCAGAATCATGGTTCCCAGATGATCTTAAAATGGCCCCATTTTCCCTGCTTTCCCTGGAAGAACCGACCTCTTTGCTGTGACTCAAGTCAACACCATCTGTCTGCCCAGAGGACAGCCCCGAAAGCAGGCACTTTTCTCCTTTCTCATAGCCAACCTGCAATTACTAGAGAGATTGTCTATGTTCTGGATTTTTCTCCTTTGCTGCTTCTATCTTCACCCAGTATTTCATTAGCTGACCAGTAGCCTTACCAAAGTTTTTGAGCTTCCTATAAATGTAAGACAAATTAAGTATTTTCAGCACTCAGGTTTGCAGTGGTTAAGAGATCGGTTGCTACCAAAAATGTCAGCAGTTTGAATCCACCAGTTGCTCCTTGGAAAACACATGGGTTGCCATGAGTCAGAGTAGACTCAACAGCAAGTGGTTTGTTTTTTGTTTTGCTTTGTTTTTTGCAGGGGGTGGGGTTATTCCTGGGACAGTACTTATAGCTGTCAGGTCTCTCTAAACAGTCTCCCCTAATCCCAAACCACCCCATGAAAAACCTCTTTCTTCACTAGATTTTGGTCTGTAGATTTGAAAACCCAGATTTTCCTTGTTATCCTTCATGATCCTCAGTTAGGTAACTTCCTGAGAGGAAGACTGACAGACTCCGTGGTTAATTTGTTCATTTTATTCATATTAATAAGTACTTATCAAACACAGCCTCTGTATTAGGCACTGGGAATTCAGAGAAAAAAGACAAGATCCCAGGAGAGAAAGATGAATGAAGAGATAATCAACTGACAGACAGGCTATGGAAGCATAGAAAGGGAAAACAAATCCAAACATCTTTTTTGGTTGGGGGAAAGATGGGAAAGATGTAAAGAGGAAGTTTTTTCCAGAGGAAATGACACTTATGAGAATTTATAAATGATAAGTAAAAGTTATCAAGGCAAATAGGGGATATAGTCTAGACAAAGAGAAGACATTCCCAATGCTGTTGTTGTTGTTAGGTGCCATCAATTCAGTTCTAACTCTTAACAAACCTATGTACAACAGAAGGAAACACTGCCCGGTCCTGTGTCATCCTCACAATTGTTATTATGCTTGAGTCCATTGTTGCAGCCACTGTGTCAGTCCATCTAGTTGAGGATCTTCCTCTTTTTCACTGACGCTCCACTTTACCAAGCATGATGTCCTTCTCCAGGGACTGGTCCCTCCTGATAATATGTCCAAAGTACATGAGACAAAGTTTCGCCATCCTTGCTTCTAAAGAGTATTCTGGCTGTACTTCTTCCACGATAGACTTGTTCGTTCTTCTCGCAGTCCATGGTATATTCAATATTCTTCACGAACACCATAAGTCAAAGGCATCCATTCTTCTTTAGTCTTCCTTATTCATTGTCCAGCTTTCGCAAGCATGTGATGCAACTGAAAATACTATGGCGTGGGTCAGGTGCACCTTAGTCCCCAAAGTGACAAAGTGACATCTTTGGCACACTCCCAACCATGAATTTCATGGTTGGAAAAATTTGGTACTTTGGTTTTGGTCCTCCAAGAAGCAGACACCAAGGCAGAAGTAAACACATGTGGGGTGCTCGCTTTGGCAGCACATATACTAAAATTGGAATATTACAGAGAAGATTAGCATGGCCTTATGCAAAGATGACATGAAAATTCATGAAGCATTCCATGTTTTTTTGGTGATGGTTGCACAACATGGTGACTATAATTCATGTCACTGAGTTGTACACATAAAAATGATTGCAATGGCAAATGTTTTGTTATATGTATTTCACCATAATAAAAAATTAAAACACACACACACACACACACACACACACACAAACATGCACGGGATTTACCAGGGAAAAAAACCTCTGAAAAAAAATAAAAAGGAAGCAGAAAGAGACCAGGAGAGCTGTCAGACCAGTCTGACTCCTGTGAATGAGAGAGGGAAGGAAGGCAGGTTGCATTGGAAGACGCTTAGGTATTCTAAGAAAATTTATGAAGACCGATTGAGAGTTCTGGAGATAGAGCTCCCATCACACGAGTTCCCAATCTCCCAGCATATGCCTGCCTTAGCATGTCTGCCACACTCCATCAATGGCAGGCAGCAGCTCATGGGAAACAAGCCCTCAGTGTGATGTAGTGATGGTTCCAGAGTAGCAAGACAGATTTGTTTGTTCTTTTGGCAGTCCACAGTACATTCAATATTCTTAGCCAACACCACAATTCAAAGGGGTCAATTCTTCTTTGGTCTTCCTTATTCATCATCCAGCTTTCCCATGCATCTTGAGGCAATTGAAAACACCATGGCTTGAGTCAGGCGCACCTTAGTCTTCAATGTGACATCTTGAAGCTGGGGCCGTCAGTCAATTATGCTTCTGGAACTCAAAGATCTGACAAGGACATTTTCATTTGCTCAATATTTTTTTAAGTATTTATTAATCATTCTTTATCCTATTTTTAAAATGTAATATACATAATATATAACAAAAATATGAAATATCAATACATTGTTTAATCAGATGGCATGTGTTAGCCTATGTTTTTGAAATATTGGGAATAACTGTGAAACCCCCTTTCTACCTTGAAGAGTTTTATGATTCCCAGATGTTATGAATTGAATTGTGCACCCCCAAAATGTATATTGATTAGGCTAGGCCATGATTCCCAGTATTGTGTGATTGTCCACCATTTTGTCATCTGATGTGATTTTCTTATGTGTTGTAAATCCTACCTCTATGATGTTAATGAGGCAGGATTAGAGGCAGTTATGTTAATGAGTCAGGACTCAATTTACAAGATTAGATTGTATCTTCAGTCAATCTCTTTTGAGATATAAAACAGAAAAGTGAGCAGAGAGACCACCAAGAAAGCAACACCTGGAGCAGAGTGTGTCTTTGGACCTGGGGTTCCTGCACTGAGAAGCTCCTAGACCAGGGGAAGATTGATGACAAGAACCTTCCCCCAGAGCTGACAGAGAGGGAAAGCCTTCCCCTGGAGCTAGCGCCCTGAATTCGGACTTCTAGCCTCCTAGATTGTGAGAGAATAAATTTCTCTTTGTTAAAGCCATCCACTTCCGGTATTTCTGTTATAACAGCACTAAATAACTAAGAAGGACTTGAAGCACTTACTGATGAAGATCAAAGACTACAGCCTTCAGTATGGATTACACCTCAACATACAGAAATAAAAATCGTCACTACTGGACCAATAGACAACATTATGATAAACGGAGAAAAGACTGAAGTTGTCAAGGATTCCATTTTCCTTGGATCCACAATCAACACCCATGGAAGCTGCAGTCAAGAAATCATACCACATATTACATTGGGTGGATCTGCTGCAAAAGACTTCTTTAAAGTGTTGAAAAGCTAAGACGTCATCTTGAAGACTAAGGTGCGCCTGACCCAAGCCATGGTGTTTTCAATTGCCTCAATATGCATGGGAAAGATGGACGATGAATAAGGAAGACCGAAGAAGAAATGACCCCTTTGAATTGTGGTGTTGGCTAAGAATACTGAATATACTACGGACTGCCAAAGAGCAAACAAATCCGTCTTGGAAGAAGTATAACCAGAGCGCTCCTTAGAAGCAAGGATGGCGAGATTACGTCATACGTACTTTGGACGTGTCATCAGGAGGGATCAGTCCCTGGAGAAAGACATCATGGATGGTAAAGTAAAAGGTCAGAGAAAAAGAGGAAGACCCTCAACAAGATGGGCTGACAGAGTGGCTGCAACAATGGGCTCAAGCATAACAACAACTGTGAGGATGGTGTAGGCCCGGGCAGTATTTCCTTCTGTTGTACATAGTTTTGCTATCAGTCGGAACCAACTCAACGGCATCGAACAACAACAACACATAACTAAGACACCAGAGTTTCCCTTCTCCATGATGGAAACTTCTGCCTTGAAATGTACACAGGAGGTGAGAGGCAAGAGGGAAGGCCAAATCAAGGCAGCATTGTTTCAGGAAAGCTCCTATGAAGAAAAAGAATAAAACTTAGTCCATATATGTTCTCCATCCTTTATTAGCACAATCCTATATGTCTCAGAGATAAATAATAGATAATTGTATTCTTCTATTTTATTAGGAAACACTGGGATAGCCATAATCCACATGACCCAGAATATGCAGGATTCTAATATCTGTCCCTGTCATTGATTAATGTCATCATTTTGAATATTGCAATTTCCCTCTATTTTTAGAGGAAATCAAATATTGAATAATAAACTACAATGCAAACAAAACTACGTTATGCTTTTCAGCAATTATGAATAACAAGATCAACCTTAATCAAATCTGGGAAACATTTAGAGTCTACTGAGTCCATTAGCTGTGGTGTGAGGTAAACAGAATAAATACTCTTAATGAGAGACACAAACCATTGCTAGCCTTGCTCACACCTTCTTCCAAACGGACATAAAAAATAAAAAATTGCCATCCAGTCGATTCCAACTTATAGCACACTACAGAACAGAGTAGAACTGCCACATAGGGTTTCCAAGGCTGTAATCATCATAGAAACAGACTGCCACATCTTTCTCCTGTGGAGCAGCTAGTGGGTTCAAACTGCTGACGTTTCCATTAGCAGCCGAGCACTTAACCGCTGTGGCATCAGGGCTCCTTTGAGTGGACATAAAAACCAAAAAAAAAAAACCATTGCCCTCAACTCATAGCAACCCTATAGGACAGAGTAGAACTGCCCCATAGGGTTTCCGAGAAGCGCCTGGTGGACTCAAACTGCCAACCTTTTGGTTAGCAGCTGATCTCTTAACCATAGTGATGTGCAATACCTTGGGGCCCTCAGATGATTGGACTGAGGTGGATACCTAACCCAAGTTTACCTAGCCCTACATTAATCAAACATCTATGGCATAGACTTGTGCAAGAAGATAATTTGGTTTGATAGATCCCTTCTCTCTGGAATTTAAAGAAAGGGACACAGAGCAACATTGCCAATTAGCAAAGAGAAATAAAGGACCTATTGAGAGGGTATGGGATGTAGCCTAGGGGAGCAGTGCCTGATACAGAATGAAAGGAACAGAGTAGACACGTACAGAGAATCAGCGATGAAATGACCCTGTGGGCCCTTAGAGAGAAAGAAACCAAGGAAAGGCCATGGTTCCCATGTCTCACCAGCTGCAGGGCCCATGAGGCCCATTAGTTTCCAGTTTCCTGGCCTACCCACTGCAACCTTATAAGAACTCTTTCTTGGGTTGGCTTGCATGAATTTCTCTTTCTGCAACCAAGGTGACCATCCCTACTAATTTGGGGATTAGGACTGCAGCTTTTCTGTGGCTTTTAATGCCATCAAAACTAGGAAAGAACTCCAAAGCCTGAATATCTTTCAATTCAGTACCCTCTAAAGGACGTTCTGTTGGTATTTTGCTTACTAGATGTTGTTGTTGTTGCTAGGTGCCATCGAGTGGGTTCTGACTCATAGCAACCTTACATGCAACAGAACGAAACACTGCCCAGTCCTGCACCATCCTCACTATCATTGTTATGCTTGAGCCCATTGTTGCAGTCACTGTGTCAATCCATCTGGTCGAGGATCTTCCTGTTTTCTGCTGACCCTCTACTTTGCCAAGCATGATGTCCTTCTCCAGGGACTAGTCCCTCCTGACAACATGTCCAAAGTATGTGAGACGTAGCCGCACCATCCTTGCTTCTAAGGAGCATTCTGGTTGTACCTCTTCCAAGACTAGATGTTAGGTGACTTGTTTATTACTATTACTCATTCAAAGGGGGCGGGGGGCATCAGTTGGTTCTGAATCACCATAACAGGATATCTTCATTTGCAAACAATTTGTCTTGGCTTCTACAGATGGGTCCACCTAAAATAATAAAACCTACTTTGAGTTAAAGAAAAACACTCGTTAATGTTTCCCAGCAGAAAAAAAGAATAAATAAATGTGTTTTAAAATCATGGTTTTTAGCCTTCATTGTGAAGCTTAATCAGAGGAAGCTGAATGTAAAAGAGGAAAAACTCCAGAGCTAGGAATCAGAAGAACTAGATGCTGATGTCAAATCTCCCAGTAACTAGCTCCGTAACCGTGACCGTGGGCACTTGCCTCCCAGTACTTGCAATTTCCTTATCTTTCTAACGTGGCTAACACCTTCCTGAGCTGCTGACCAGGTCGTTACAGGGACTCAGTAAGGAATAGACCATAGAGGTGACTGAAGAGTTTAGAATGCAACGTCAGCAATGGGTTTTTAAAAATGATATTTCCTGGTCTAAGTAAAATTCTGCCTTGATTATTTCAAAGTGGTGATCATGTTCCCGTTTCGAGATGAAAGAATGCGACATTCAAAATATATGGAAATGTTGTTTTAACTAATAAGTCTCCAATTTGACATGTAATGCCTACACATGAGAACCAAAAAGTGAAGTCTTGCCTTTCCTGACCTGAGGCTTGAGCAGAACATGACTTAGGACTTGGAAGTGGGGACTCACACCAATTTTCCTTCTTTGTCCACATCCCGACTTCCTCGCCTCCTATTTCAATCTTAAGCATCCTGAGAATAGAAAGTAAATCAGTAAATCTATCTTACTTTGAATTGTATGCCCAGGAGCTTAAAAAATACTAGATGTTCAGCAAAAATTGTTGAACAGTGTTCAAATAAATAAATACAACTTCCATTAAACTGTTCCTTCTTATGCATTAACTAAGCTACTACAAAATAT